CTGGGTGGCTGGCAGTTATATACATTAGAAAGAATTCATTCCAATAGTAGTGATTTTAGGTTCTTGTTTTATGCACTCTTCAAAGGGATATTTAGGGGTGGGGAGGCAGGTGGGATGTTGTTGATTTAAAGATAATCAGGGATGAAGAACATTTCTCAAATTATGATGAAGTCGGTGGTGACACAGATTTGAAGTATGAAAACCCTTACCACAACAGGACAGTATTTGTAAAGCAAAGTGTACTTGGCCCTCATGGCTCAGGGCCAAGACCTGGTTGTGCCTAGCTTGGGAAGGGGAAGGCTAACTAGCCAACCCCTGATGACTAAATCCAAGGAGACAGATCACACAAAGATCCAAACCAAAGCCCTTGACACTCCATTCCTTTCTTGGGAACTAAATGGGCCTTAGATTGCCCAAAGGTGTGTGGTCAGGAGAAGCTGGAGTCCAGATTAATGTCCCAACTCAGTCAGTATTCAGCCCTGACTTCCCCTACTTTTTACAAGGCAGGGAGAAATTATCCAGTGATCTGCTAAACCAGGCCACCTTTGGGGAGATTTATAGGCCCCAATGGGGACAAATGACATTCTTTCAGGGTACAAGATTCTTTAAGGAGGAAATGGAAAGGGTGCAGGACTGAGACTCAAAAGGACTAGGGTAGGGAGGGGAAAGTGATTAGCATCCCATACACAGAGATTAGACTGTCTTTTATGTCCAGTGACTTTTGAGGGTACCACAGGGGAAACCTCCACCATCCCCTTTACAGTCCAAATCCAGGTCTCTTCAGAGAGCACCAAACTGCAGCTCCTTGAGAAGGAACATCCACAGCCAGGACTGGAAACATTAACTAGCAACTCAGTGAAGTAACACTTCTCTTGTTCCCAGACAAAAACAGCACAAGGGACACTCCCCACCCCAGCTGTTTTCAGAGTCAACAGGGGGACTAAAGCAACTATCAGAGGAAGTTTGAAAATCTTCAGTTCTATACAAAAAATATGTAGGTACCCAAAATGTTTTCATTAAATATTAGATTCATCTTGATTTGCTGTCTGGTGATACCATCACTTAGGTACTTGTCATATCTGCCCTAACAGCCTCCTTGGAGGTAGCAACCATGTCTTCATCGCCTTTACATGCCCTTTAGTGCCTAACAGTGTCTGGCACATTGTGGGGACTCAGTGACATCTGATGAATCTAGTTGAACATAAATGGGCAAGGGACTCAGCTTAAAATCTTTTTCAAGTACAGAAACTTGGTCCTATGGCATGAGAAGAAATGTTCTAAACCCATTTTTCCTTTGGGTAAGGCGGGGCCTAAGTCTGTGGCTAATACCCCGGGGCCTGGCTTCCCAACTTTGAACAAACTACTTGGCAGGAGTACTTCCGTTTTTGTAGTTTGGTGCCTTTCTACCCTCCCTGTCTCCAGGGTATCTTGATACCAACCTGCCCAACACTAGTCCTCTGCCCTCTCTCCACCCCAATACTGAAATGTATACACCTGGAGAAGCAGTGCTTCAGAAATTTCATAATGAACTGATGAAGCTTCTGAGGTATAAAGCAATCCATAGCATTTGTGACGGGTTAACTTTAATTTGTCAAAATAAATCTGCAGTATTTTGCATGTTAGTAATACAGTGCTGGTATTGACAAGTAAAATCATCATCTGCTTACATAGAAACCTTCATTTAGGAGCACACCTTAGGAGGGAAGTGGATACACAATAAAGGCAAATGCAGGCCAAGCAGCGAGCCCTAGAGCATAACAGGCTGGATGTTGGATTTGAGGATTATCTAATACAACTGTTTAGCTGCCAATCTGATAAAAGGGAAGCTCAACCAAGTTACAAGCAGAAGGGAAAAACATACTCTGCCTTTTCGTGGACCGGTGGCCATCGTGCTTTCAACACCTGGTTGAATCAGTCATCAGCATCGAAACTCAATTCCAGTTCTGAGACACAGGAGAATTTCACCACATAATTTGCCCGTACCCCGCTTTCAGTGGCCTGCCCCCACCCCCGTTCTGTCATCAACTCTCCCCCTTCAAAAGAAGACACAACGTGGCTTTATTATTGCAGACAAGCTTCTTAAGTGAATAAAGGATGCATACAAAATAGCATTTTAACTGAAGTCATACAATGAAGTCTCACTCCTGTTTATTATACAATGAATTGATAAAACAATCATTTCTAGTAAATATCTCCTTTTTTCTTTAAAAAAAGAACTAATACTTTCAGGGTTCTTAAGACCACACTCTAGCCTGGGGGTAGGGCCCACACCTGCCCCCACTGAGGACTGCTCCTTGGGCCCCTGTGGAGGAAGCCTGGACTATCTGAATTGTGGATGATCGAGATTGCCAGCCCAGCCTTGGGAGAGATGAAAGATGCTGGCAGGCAGAGCCAGAACCGGGTCCTGGGGCTGTGTGCCCGGAAATGTGGGCTTCCTCCAAATGTGGCCACCGACCGCCCAATCCAGGCCTCAGCAGGGCCATGTATGGGCCTTCCCTACATGAGTCCTTCCAGTAGTCCACGCATAATGCTCTACATATTAAAAAACAAACCATCTTTGTACTGTGGATAAGAACAGTTGTAACAAAGTCATAGCTACATATTTTTCTCTACATTTTGTTTATTGAGACAAACTAATTAAAAGGCACAAACATAGGGCATGTTTACATGGACATTATAACAAACATATACATTAAAAGTGTAGGAATGTGTTGCCTTCCTGCTAAACAGAAAGTTCCTAAGCTTTTATATATACAAAAGTTGTACAATTTAATGTCCTAAAGTACAAAAGATCATTTATAAAATTATTTTACACTAAGTACTATTTATTTTATTTTTTTACTATGTAGTTCAACCCCCTAGAACTGTTTTGTATAATGACACACAGATACCTGTCCCTGATGTAGGAAGTCTGCCTCAGATGCAAGGTATTTTGATGCTTGAACTGACACAGTGGGGTATAAACGGAAGTCATCCAGTTTGATAGTCAGTCCTGCAAACATTCTGCAAGATTAACAACTAATTTCCATTTCTCTTAACTGCAAGATTAAAAAAGGAAAAAACAAAACAAAAACATATTGCAACTTAAAAAAAATCACAGCGTCTTGGTTGTAGTTACTTTTTTTTTTAAACACAATGTTTTAAAAACATCAAGGTGCGGCATGATGGTATAAGAGTATCTGTTTCCCTAGATTTTGGCTTCTACTTTATGTACAGACATAAAACATCCTGCTAAGAAATAAAAAGCACACGTCTCAATGTGCACGATCATTGCTGGGTTTCCAGAGGGAGTGCAGACAGCTGTCTCCCTGAAAACACCACAAAGCTGATACAAGTGTTTTCTCAAAGAAGGAAGAAAAAAAAAGTGATGTCCATATTTACAAAGTTGAACAAATCTGCACAATACTTGATTAAGAAATGGAAGGAAAAATTAAAAAATAAAGACACACTCTGCTTGTTCTGAAGGGGCATACTACCTAGTTAGTGGTTAGAATAAAAACTGTATACAATTTAATATAAGACATAAACTCTAGTGAGCAACTAACACATCTGTCCCTGTTGTAACATCAACAGGCTCTGATTGGGAGAGAGGGGGGCATATCACATCCCGGTGCCTCCAGCGTCTTCCAATTTAAAGCAATATATTTTAACTGTTCCAAAGTACTCCTTGGCTCCTGAGTGGGAGTCCCACTGGCCTCCATTTGTTAGGAGCCTGCCTGTCCGCACGCTTGACTTCTCTGTCATTTGCGGTCTTTTCTTACCAAAACACAATTTGTATATTTTGGTTGGGTTCTTCTTCTTCTTTTTTTTTTTTTTTTTAATTTTTTAAAAAAGTCAACTACATTGCTATATTCCATCAGGATTAATATGCTGAGCAATATTTACATCTCCAAATATCAGGTCACAATCCCTATTATATGTTGAAGTTAGAATGATAAATTATCATATGCTTTGCATATCAGAGCTGGTATCACCTTTCCCATAGGGAATGCTGCCTGAAATTAACATATTCCCAAAGGTAAAATGCATATTCTCTGAAATGCATTTTATTATGACAATGCATGTATTTACTCATAAAAACAATAAACAAACAATTCTACACTAGCTTTCAATCTGTGGATTTAGAACTTCAGGTTAAAATCAGTCATCCACCTTGTAGAAGGGAGAAGAGTTCTGCTAGTGTTTATAATAAAATGATTTCTTGGGATTAGAAACAGTAATGCTGTTTTTGTTTTATTCTGAAATGGGTTTTACTTTTTTATGATTGGTTTTAATTCTGGCATTTCATCTTGCCAACTACTATCTTGTTTAAGCAATGCTGTGAACTAAAAGGAATTTCTGATTAAACTAAAGTGGTCCAATGATAAGTTATATACGCACCCTACTTTGAACAATTTCAGCCAAATTGGACAAAAATACTACTATACTCTTATCAACTAATTTAATAAAATCTCTCAATTTTATGGTTTACTTTTTGCTTTAATTAACTAAAAACAAGTTGCTGGTAAATATTTACTTTAACCTCATATTTTGATTTTATAATACTGTTTACCAAGGCGGTGATGTAGGCAAAGCTTGGGGTAAGAAAGGCATGCTCTCTACAGGCCTCATTGCTATATTGAGAGGGGCAGCTAATGTCATAGGTGTGGGCAAGTTCATTGGAGACGTGATTGTGACAGGGTGTGCTATATTCACTGGGGCAGTGACTGGGGTGGGGAGGTTGACTGGGGTAGTGAGTGTTAAAGGAGAGGTCATGGATAATGGACTGGTGATAGTTACAGGGTGCCCTATGTTCATTGGGCTGGTTATGTTAACTGCACTTGAAACATTTACTGGACTTCTCATGCTCATTGCAGCTGCTACTGTGACTGGGTTTGACATAGTCCCAGACGACACAGAGGACGTTATATTGAATGGAGTAGTGAGAGTCACAGGTGTCGTAGCAGCCGTGGAGGTTTGGCACAGGTTAGCAGCTTCTAAAATAAGAAGACAAAAGGGCCTTTAGACTCTCATAACAGTGAACAAAATTCACAAAGAGTTTCTGAATCAACTGCTTTTAATTAAAAAGGACAAACATGTAATAAATTAAATTACAGTTTTCAACCAAGTGGTCCACAGGAAGGGAAGAGCTGTCTGACACAAGACTAGGGGCCAGGAACCCCAGTGTGTGAATCTCCTTTCTGATGCTATACCTCCTGCAAGAACTGAGGCGACGTGTTTAGCCTTGCACTTTTGGTATGAAGTTCAAATTTACTTACCTACCTCACAGTGAAACTGGGAAGACAAGTTAACTTCTGCAAGGCACTCTGGGGAGTGGGGGACAGAGGTACCAAGTATGGCTAAGTAGTCTTACTACTTACTACTTCATGCAGTTCCTCTGAATTCTAAACATTCTCCTGGGAAGAGCCAACCACCAGCAGGAGAAAAGAGCTTGTTTACACAGAGTTGAGCCAATGGTTACACAATAACATATAATCAGAGAAATCTTCTCATAAGGCACACTATAACTAGCAGAGAGAGGTGTGCATACTCAATGGTATGTGCTCTAAAGTCCTCTCAGAGGTGAAGCCACATTCTGTTAAGGTTTTAAAAATTCATAACTAGGGATCGAGAAGCAAGCTATTTTATTATCACCTGCTTATTTCAGTCTTAGAAAAAATGCTCTCGCTAAATAGTCCTGTTGTTTCTGGTTATGTTTCTTAATGATGTTAAGAAAGAAAAAATACTCCTCAGTAGCTTTGTGTTCTCCTCCCCACTCCCATTTCCTCTTCTCCTTCTGGTTAACACAATCATCTACTTTATGTCTAGTATAATTTAACTGCTCCTGTTACACACCATCAACCATACCAAGGAGGACTAACCAGGCAAGGAGACCCTGCAGTGAGTTGGGGGCCCCTAGTCCTTGTTATCCAGCAAAGTCTTGGTACTTCTTAAAGAAAACTTCCCTCAAAAGTGACACCCACATCCTCATCCTGAAATAAAATTCACCACCACCTGCTGTTTGCCACCCAAAAAAATGGCAGCGTGGAGACAAAGGGGTGGGCTGGCTGTGACCTGGCTGTCAAAATGGAGAAACGCATTTGGGATTAAAGACTGAGGTCTGCACGCTCCTACACAGTGGGTCAAATCATCTCAGGTGGACGCCTGAGTCATTCAGTAGTCAATAAGCAGCCCTTCCTTGGTCAATATATGTTTGGCAGATACTATATATCAAGGATTTCCAAATCTGGCTGATGATCAAAATCATCTATCTAAGGAGTTTTGAGATTCAATAGTGAAATTTAGATGGGACCTGAGAAATCTGTATTTTAAAAATCTCCCTAGATGATTCAGATTGAGAACTGATATTATCTTACTCTAACATTAGGCCCAATATTTAAAGGGACATTGCTGATTACAGTTTAGGTTTTCAAGCCAGGAGCCTCCTCTCCCTCAAGATGTGAGGTCTACTAACACGAATATAGAGATGCTACCCATCAGTGGTCATTTCCAGAGAGATTCATGCTACCAACAGGAATACAATAGCATTTTGTTTCATGGAGGTCAGAAGATGAGCTGAACAATTGAGTCTTATTGTGCAAGCAAACTGAAACACAATACCAAATAGAAACGCACTGAAAGAAAACAGAGAGCAAGAGAGAAAGCCAACTCGCTTTTGAGGTGATGGTAGCATTGCTAAGGATGTTCTCCTTCTGCTTTCACCACAGGAGTTTTCACTCTCCCTAGCATGCAGCCTGCCTCTGCCTAGCCCCCACCCCTCTCCACTGCATTTTCTTTTCAATCAGTTTTTTTTTTCTTTTACTAGGACTTAGTTAAAAATTTTTACTCTTCCTCTAAGTAAAACATTCTCTATAATACACTTTCAACCCACTATGTTAATTATCATAGCCCTAAAAAATATTTTTATCAAAATAACGACAACTCTTCATTTGGAAGGTAGGAACAAGCAGCACCTGAAACAGGGGTAAGGCTACCTGGACTGCTTCATTCTTTTCCTCCAGTGCCAGCAGATGTATGAAAAAGAATGCTATTCTTTTTATGTTTATCCAAACACAGGATATTTAGAAGAGATCTGAGGAAGGGAACAGTCACACTGCATAAAAGCAAAAGATGAAGAAACTACACAGCAAAGGAATTACAGAATAGCCTATATGCAGAGGATTCCTTGTGAATTTAAAATACAACAGTAAAGCATGGCAGGGGTGGGAGAAGAGAGAAGGATTTAGGAATCTGTCCTATGGCTGAGGACACATTGACAAAATGACTTATTTGAAACAGGTACACAATAGACCAGAAGCCACAGCTGCAGCCAGTAAGCCGAAAAGCTATGTTGAAAACTGATACCCCAACTGATTCTTTATCACACATACAAGAGAGAAAAGGAAACCATCCTCAATTTTTGTAACAATTACAGTGGAGTCGCTAACAGCAAAAGCACAGAACCTGTTAAACTATGACAGAGGAGATTAAGGGTGAGACCAAAAGGAAAGAAGTCAGCACTATAGAGTCTGAAAAGTGTAATAAATAATACAATGCAGAAAGGATACTAAAGGAGCAAAACATAACACAGTAGTAAGAAAATGAACTTATATACACACAAGGATGATATTTCATCCACCTCTAAAAGTGCGAATACTTTAAAAGAAAATAGGCCCATAATATGGGGATGTCGACAACAAAATGAATAACAAAAATAGAACTCTGAGCAAAGCAAAGGACCAAATTTGTCTCCAAATTTAAAACAAAAAGTAAATCAAAGAACCTGCTAAGAAGTACTGAGAACTTTTACTTTCTACTAATAAAAACTTACCTGGAAGCTTTGTTGGCAATAACTAAACTTTACCAGACATTTCCCAGCATACAGCATTTGTATGTTTTCACAAAGCCAGATTCCCTAAGCTCTAGTTTCTCTACTTTGATCACTTGGCATACTAAATTAAAACAATTATCTAGCTATACCGTGACCACTGGAAGCCTCATCTTACCTTTCTTCCTTGCTTTGACAGCTTCTTCCCACAGTCTCAGTGTCTCTACCTGCTTCCCTGGCCAACTTGTCACATGTTGTTGCTGCTGTTGCTGCTGCTGTTGCTGCTGCTTCTGGTTGCTGGTCTCTTCACTCATGCATGCTACTCCAAAGACAAACCAGAAATACGACATTTACCTTGAAAAAGTGTGGCAATTTTTTCAAAATCCAAAACTTAGATACTCTGACTCCTCACGCCTCTGAGCTCTTTCTCATTTGACTTGATAGCTCTTACTATAGTGCATCTCTTTTTGCTGCTTGTGTTTATATTGGTCACAACAGATGAGTTAATAAAATACGTAGAGAGCTAGGGAAAACCAATGTAAAAGAGAAAAGAGGTTTCTGCTATATTAAAAAGCAAGTGTCTGTTAAAATGGAAGTTGGGGAATATTATCATGGATTAATCAATATGTTCATCAAAATATCCAATATACTTGCTTACTTGACCACAATGATGTACACTAAAAGTATTTTTTTTTAAGTTAAAAAGTATAACATCCTAGATAATAAACCCAATGTACTTACAAAGAAGCAAAATGGATGAGATTAAAACACATTAAGCTTTCTTTCTCATTCACTTTGGCTACCTACTTTTTGAGAATTTGATGTTTCTGCTGCATAAAGTACATCTATAATAGAATACAGAATTAAGAAAATGCTTTTTTCTAGTGGAGAGGAAATTGTAAAAGAAGGAGCCTGGGTAAATTAAAGTATTAAATTTCACCCACAAGTTCTGGAACATTCTATCGTCTACTCTAAATTTAATTGTTCAAATGGATATCATATATCCCATTTCTCTACAGATTTGGGTTTGAAAAGCAAACTTACTAATACTCCTTTTACCTTTAAGGTTATTATTAAAAACATGTTATTAATACAACCAGGAATTAGTAGACATTGATATTTAAGAGTCTTTCTAACTTGAAATAAAACAATCAAAATTGCCTAGCAAAAGAAACAGCTTCCTTATTTTGTTTCTGCTGTTTCAATTCTAACACACTAGAGCTTTTTATTCAAACCCCATAGAAGGGACACACTGAAAAATAGCTGTTGGGAAATCCTACTCTTCTAACATGGGTATTATTAGCAGTCAAGCACAGTGGAGAGTTTATCAACCCTGTTTGCATAGATACATGTGACGCATATTTCTGACACTAATGTATTCTCACTGATGTGTGTTTGCACACTTCAGTAACAGAAGGGAATATGTAAGATGGACATTAATCTAGTCCTGACAGCATAGTGAAAATACCTTTGATACATCATAAAACAGCTAGATTTCATCAGTTTGAAATGCAAAAACAAATGTGAAGAGTCACCTACTTTTATTGATGCCTTGTTTACATGTATTACAGTTGATACTTTGGCTCTGCCCATGTGTCTTTAAGTGGCTGGTGATATATGCTGCACTCAGAAGTTTCCCACAGATATTACACGATACCTTGCCTTCGTGGCGCACCATGTGTGTCCGCAGTCTGTCTTTGGTGGCAAAGGCAGCAGTGCATGTCTGCATGAGGGAGGAAAACTTTTTTTAAATATAGACTATCCTGTTCTACTCATTTTAAAATGTTATATTCTATGCATTATCCTACCCATGTCAGTAAGTGGACTGGGCTATTTGAATTTTAACGGCATGTGTTACTTAGAATCATAAATTTCAAAATACTTGGTGAATTTTAGACACTTCTATTTCAGGGGAGGAAAACATAACAACACAGACTAGTGAAAAGATGGGAGCGTGAGAGTCAGTTAAACCTGAGTTTAAATCCAGCTCTACAATTTACTAAGCAGTGTAACCTTGAACAAGTTGGTTAACCTCTCTGAAATCCGTTTCTTCTTCTGTAAAATGGGGATAGTAATACCTACCTCATAGGACTGCTGCTGGATAAAGAGCCTGGCCCAAGGCCTGGCACGTAACAAGCACTTACTCAATGAACATTAGCTTCCTCCCTTCAGCTGGATTTTTCTTAGAATTCAAATCATTTACTTAATAAGATCAGTCATTAACAAACTTAGCTGAAAGGAGCACAAAAAGACTTCCAGCAACAAACTAGAATTACTGATGCCTAAAACAGTCCTTTGATTTAGCAAAATTCTTAACCTTTTCATTGTCACAACTTATGTCAAATGAAATCATTAACAAATAGCTTTTCAAACTAGAAAATGCTCCAATTTGGCAATAGCAGACAAAAATTCATTGAGCGATAACATCTGGGAGAAAACTAATATTTTCTCCTATTAAACTAAAACAACCTCAACCATCAACCCAGAAATTCAAAGCACTTCATTCTTCCACTCATTTCAAATACATAATGACCTTTGTAAGACTATATATTTTTTTTCCTCATAACAAAAAATTCTGTTGCCCAAGGAAAGGGAAGTGTAGTTTAACAATAACAATGCATTCAAACTTTTAAATGATCTTGTCTCACAGAAAGAGAAGTTGTCATTTATATTAAAACTAAAATTCAAATGGATCACATTTACTCAAGTCAGTGATTTTAAGATTATTCAAGAACTGGAGATTTGATTGGCTCACACCTTCTGGAAAATGTGCATTAAGTGCTACACTAAGGATAAGTCATTTTAACTCTTACTTGGCATTTGAAGGGTCTTTCTGTTGAATGGACATGTTTTACGTGACAGCTTAAGTGGTCAGGCCTGTGAAAGAGAGAGTTTCAACAGAAGATGTAATGGAACACACACAGAGACATGCTACTTACTGTGATGCTTACATGATTGGCAGATTTGGGAGAGCATTTTAAAGAAACCTAGCAGAATTACCGGCTCCCCCCCTTCCCCCAGTACAAGCTGCCTCCTTAACTCTCTTAGCATACAAAAAAGTCTCAGTCCTTTACGTGTTTATTTTCTCTTCTAGTCAACATCAAATCACACTAGGTGTTGGTTCTTTACAATTACAAAATATTCACGTTTAGTCCTAACGCTTGCCAGAAATAGCTACTATTATATTAACTTTAAAAGCTTTTAAAAATTATAATTAGTAAAATGTTAGTTCTCATCACAAAAAATGGAAAACGTTCCCCTAAAAGTTTTATCAAGCATCTCCCAGGTCACCTCAACTTTCAGGAAATAAGTTCCTTTGATTTCCACAGACAGTGAACGTTCTATCTAGTCACCCAACTGAACTAAAAACTGGTGGTTTTGCAATGATAAGTACCCCTGTGCCAAATGAAGGCTTGAGTCCACCAAGGCACTTCTTAAATGAAGTAGTAAATTAGATCACTATGTCACCACTTGTCAACCATACCAAACTGCAATTATACCTGGAGGTATAATGCTTCTTTATCACCAGTCTCCTCTAATAACACAGGCCTGCCCCCATCTATTCTCACATAAACTTTCAAAATTACACGGAAATAAATCTGAAGTTTTACTGTTATCATAATTTAAAAAAGCAAAGCAAAACCCAGTACCTTGAGAAGCCTTTCCCACAAACACTGCAAGTATAGGGTTTGGTGATGCCTCCTTCATGAGACCTCACATGGTAAGTCATCCGGTCCTTCCTCTTGAAGCGCTGATTACAAACAGGACACTCAAAAGGCTTTTCGTCCGAATGGGAGAGCTTGTGCCGATTGAGGTGATACACATCTCGGAAGGCCTTCCCACACATCTCACAAGCATGGTTCTTCTTGACAGGCTTACTGGGTTTCTTGACAGACTGGGTCACGGGCATAGCTGTGGTGCTGGCACTGCTGCTGGGGTTAGTGCCCGAGGAAGATGTAGTGACTGTTGACAAGATGCCTGCAATGGTTGAGACCAACGAAGTTCGGCTGCTGTCCCCAGCGATGGTGGAGATAAGGGGAACCACTGTGGTGGGGGTTTTCTTTCGCTGGGACACCAACTTGATCCCTGTGTGGCAGGACTCATGGCGCCTCAGGTGATAGCTGTCCCTGAAAGCTTTACTGCAGTAAGTGCACACAAATGAAGTTTTGGGTTTTTCTTTTTTAATCCCAATGGCATCCTTTAATGTTTCTGGCGCAGCCTGAGGTTTCTGAGTTATTGGTATTGGAAGCAATGGTTTCTGATCAGGGGGCTCCACAGCAGAGCTCAGGAGGGGCAGCAAGCTGTTCTGTGCTGCCTGCTGTTGGTGATGGGAGGCTTCATGGGCCTAAAACCAAACATTTACACTTCAGAAACTCAGCCTCTCACAATGACCTTCAAAATTCAACATGTTCCAGGCAATAGAGACCAGAAGAAAAAAGAGCCCGTGAGCTAACTCTCTGCAGCAGAGATCCAGCAACCATCTAGTTACTCTCACAGCTCCAAATACAAAACGTTTAAAATATCACTATGCAGACACAAAACTTTTTCGACTAAGTTGCTGACAGTGATCTTGCTTTCAAACAGTGGACTAAACTATACACACCAGCCTGGTTCATAAGGGACATACCAGGTGACAAAATCAGCGTGCATTAGTCAGTGCTTGAAACCAAGTTTAAATAACTTGTTAAAAAAAAAAAAAAAAAAAAACACTCCCGACTTAAGCATTTAGCAGTACCTTCCTGCGGTAACACACACATTAATACACATGATGTAATTATCTACTTGTCTGTTACCTAGGAAAGGTAGCAGGTCTCCCTTTCCATCAGAAAACTTAGTGATTGAGTGAGGGGGCTGTTGCTAAGTGATGAAAGGAATCTGGTGCTCTGAATGCATATGCTAGTTGTTAAGTTTCCTTTTAAAGTTTCCACTTAACTCTACTAAAAGATTTGGTTGAAACCAAACCTGCTATTAATTGACCTGGAAGGCATCTGTAAAGGTAGCCCATAGCAAAACACCTGCCAGTTGTTTCTCAGTTCATTTAATCCTACACTAGAAGTCTGCATCCTTTAGCAACTCTAGCTCTTCAAGCCCTAAATGCTCAGACTAATAAAGAAAACGTAACAAGAAAACTATATTTAAAATTCCTTCATGTTCATCTTCTTCCAGCAGTTGTAGGTTTTGTATTAGACATTTGGTCCGTTATAACGTGCTTTTCCAATCCAAAACTGGGGGCTGGACACTCTGGAGATTTTTTTAGCTGCACTGAAACCAAAATTTCATTGTGGTTCAGGTTCTTGGCTATTTATGAGTAGTTATACTCCTTGGATTTGATTCTTTCAAAATTCTCCTCACCTCCGTACTGATAAACATTTAGGAAATGATGGAAAATATTCCTGAAATTGTTCTTCCTAATATGTTGTTCTTTATCAACATTATTTTTGAAACTCTTGACAGTGAGCCCAAGCACCTAAGCTTGAGTTTTGTAATCCTAAAAGGATTATGTGCCCAGAGGTAAGAGTTCCAAATATTTTAAGCATACAGTGTCCTAGGAGAGGCTCTTCCCAGCATCTTAAACACTTTAGGTACTTATTCATCCTTCTCACTCTATAATCACAAGTCCTACAGCTAACTTGATTAAGGACAGAAAAACAAGGAGACAGAGAGACACAGAGACAGACAGACACACACCCCTCCTCCTGATGGATAAGAACATTTACCACACATTGGTCATGTTTACTTGATGGCAGCACAACAGCTAAGCGTGGAACTAGCCTCCCCTGAATGATTCGGTGGTATGGTATCCATAGCTATCAATTTCAACTTTATATTTTTTATTTCATCTTCCTTTGAGTCCTGAAAACACTGTTAGAAATTATGTGCTTATTTATGAGCATCTTTCTGGGCTTAAGTGATCATACTAAATTTACAGTCCACTTTTAATTTATGGAGCTCCTGTAACGGTCAGTTGTCTACCCAGGTGACATCAGTAGAAACTTCACAGAATTTAAACTCTAATTTTACACCTTTTCCAACCCAGCTGTAGGATACTCAAATTTCCATACAGTATACAAATGGTTCCTAGCTGAAGATAGTTCAAGATACACAACTTCAAAGGCTAAAAGATCAGATAATAGGGAATGCAAATCTTCTGGACAAAGTTCAGACTTACAGCGTTTAGAGGTGTATTTTTCAATTCTAAACAACCATTAATGCAATGCAGTACTAAAAGCACTTACTGCCATTTTACCAATTCAGATGTCTGCGGCAACATAAAGTATTTTTACAGCATTGCTGACGCCCACTCTCACACGAGGGTCACACCAGGTCCCTGCTTCTTGGGTGAAATGCTGTAGAATGCCTCGACCACTACAGGAATCACTCCCTGAGGATTCCTAGGATCCCCACACTTCTACATGAAGCCTAGAGGGGAACTGGGTTTTCCCAACTTGTTCTCTGGGGGAGAGACAGAGTAAAGTAACAACCACAGCCTGCTTTCAGTAAAGTGATTTATTTTTAAAATATAACTTCTATGTAGGCTTTTATTTGAGTAGCATCATTAAATCAAAGTTTTAATTATCTCCCATCTCTTTCAACTGCAAGGCTTTCTGACCCTGCCCAAGCTTTCTTTTTTCTGGGCTGGCAAAAAACAACACAGAAATGTTATTTCATCACCCAGGGTGGTAGGATATGGCACCATGAAATCTCCAGTGCCAGAGGGTAAAAGATTTTGTACTGAAACAAATTAGCATCGGTGAGTCATATCTTGAATGTCCTGTTAGAAGAATCATACATCAAACATTTTAACAGCTATGGCTTTCACTTTCCACCAGGTTATCTGGAAAGCAAGCAGGTGTTAAATTGTTTTAAAACATAAATTCAATAGGATGCTCCAGGAAACAAATAAGAGAGTTTAACTCTCCATTTCGCCAATGAAAATTACATAACATCGTAACTGATTAAGTCTATTCATACCTTTCCATATAAAAGACTGAAATAGTCTCTTTACCCATTCAACTGTCTTCGGTTCTAAATTATAAGTTTTCCAACAATTTTCACTGCACACATTGCCAAGCCCAGGATCAAATATCAATTTTCACACTTAACCACCAGGTAAAAAAAAAAAAGATTTTAATCACTGAAAAAAATTAAATAATATAAAGTCTAATTAAAAGATTGATCAATAAATGCTTGGCATTTGCTTTATCTAAGGAAAGATAAAAAAAAAAAAGAATTTCAAAGGATTTTTCAATTAGCTTTCCAAAGATTAGTTACAGGTTCTTCCTTTATGTAAAGAATTCTTGTTTTTTTCAATCTCCATTAAGTTTCTAGACATCAAGTTTAATATGGTAAATCTAAATCGTTCATCACAAGAAATTCACTTCAGCGGTCCAGCGGTCCATTAATTCCGTATTTTTAAATTACCATTTGAAAGTTTTTTTATAAAGATGGCAGTTGCCACCCTTACACCAACCTGGATACCAGTTAGTTATGTACCATTTCTTTTCCAATGCATTTTAAGTTGACTTATCACATTATTATCAAGCTCACTGAAGCGTAATAAAATACCAGATCAGAACGAAAAAGGAAAGTTTGAGTTCCGTAATTTTGAATATATTCAATTTTTAAAAGCCTGAATATATTTCAACAACTACTTAACAATCAAATTACCCACATGTGCAAGAATGTATGTTTTAAAACAATAAAACCAGTTTACACAACAGGTAATGCTTGAAGTCTCCAATTCCCTATATTAACTCCATTGGGATGGGTGCAGAAGCTGGGAGAATAGTATTTTGAAAATTGTGCATCCGTTCCTGGTTGGTTCTAAATGGCCTCAAGTGCCCCAAACTACGCGTTTGGGGTTTCACGAAGTTATTCAAAGAAGGAAAATAACCCGGAGAGGCGGGAAGAACACACTTAAAGCGAGGAGCTTCCTAACCTCCTCCGATTCGGAAGTTTTCCCGTGAGCTCATCACTATTGCCCATTACAGTGCTTCGTCTGCAAACAGAAACCAAGCAGGAAAAAAAAGTTCCACCCAAGTCTTCCAAACAGGGGTCCTCCACCTAAAGTAGGCGGGCAAGAGGATTGCCAACGTATCGGCTACAGTCACTCTCAAGTTTCTCGCAAAAAGCGAAGACCAACACCCCAACGGGTGACTCATCTGGGGGCTTTGTAACCGGACTTTGTTTGCTCTCTCCACTTTCCGTCTCCCCCATTTGGTTGGAGGAAACGTTGGAGGTGGGAGAGAAGAGCAAAGTGCTGCTGGAGAGGCCCGGCCCCCCGGAGTCCCGGCCCCCCATCCCCGCCCCGGCTCGGCTGGGGGATTCCCCGGGCTGAATGGGACGGCGGGAGAGCTGGACAGAGGGAAAGGGTGTCAGCTGCCAAGGCTGAAGGCTGAGGTTTGCGAACGAAAAATGGAAATCCAGTCAAAAAGTTTGGGGAAGGCATACACACTCATAACACACCCCAACCGGGTAAACACAAGGGGGGGAGGCAGAAAGGGGGAGTGGCGGGGAACCCAGAATACCCGCTATTCACGGGGATGGGGGTTCAGAAAGTCAACAAAAAAAAGAAAAGGGAGATGAAAGAGGAAGGAAAGCCAAAGACGGATGAATTATGGGAGGAGGGAAGGAAGGAGACTCAGAGTAGGACCTAGGGACCCCCTCACCCCACGGTGCGGCCCCGGGCCGGACGCGCCGTGGCCGAGCGGCCAGCGCTAGCCTATCCAGCGGCCCGGCGCCCTTT